GCTTTGCTGCAGCCATCTTTAGGTTGCCTCTTCTCGTTGTGGCTGAGAGGGGGATAAAAACCCGAGTCAAACAGGAGAGTTGCGACTTTCTGCGACCTTGCAGGGCACCCCTCTTTACTTCGCCTCCCTTACAGGATGGTTTTGACTCCTCTCGGAGCCCACCAATGGGGAGAACTTGGCACGGGAGCGCAGAGACCCACTCCTCGTGTCTGATCTTGCCACAAAGTCAGCCGGAGGTTTGGCTCCTTGATAGCGTTGGATTCCCCATTCCCTGGACTCGCTAATGTTCAATGGACTCGTAGCCCTCCACTCAAAAACAGTGATGCACTCTGCTTGAGCTGAGGAAATCTGCGGGTCCTAGAACACCAGATGGCTCTTCAGGTCCTCTCCAGCCCGGTATAATTCTTTGGCTGCTGGCAACTTCAAGGAATCTGGGTTCGCTGGGATTCTGAGGCTGCTCCCTGAGCCATTTCCCCACTGGGGAAGCTCCTGGGTGGATGGCCAGGGCGCATACTCCTTGGGCTGGGCAGCCAGTTGGCACTCAATCTCTGCCGCTGCGGCTTCCGCTTGTTCCACCACAGTGGGGTATCCAAGGCTTCCGGAGCTGTCCCCACAGTCTCCTCCAGTCCCCACAGCTCCGATGGTACCGGTGGATGTCTCCATCTTCCCTAAGTCTACCCACTGCCCGGTTTCCCAGATAAACATCCAGAGTTTAGGACCCTGGACAGCTGCCCTGCAAGCGTAGGGAGCTTCTTTATTGTTTTTATTCGGAGAGTCGGGTTAGTGTCAGGGTTCCAAATAACGCACCCAACGAAATCAAAACTCTGAGGCCTGAAGTTTCCTCAGAATAAACATTTATTAGGAATCCCATATTGGCACAGCTGATGAAAAACCGATTCTGAAGGACCTGAGGTCCTCCCCACGCAAATCAAATCCAAAAGTTCTTGCCCCTAGGTCACACGTCCATCACATGGTCCAATCAGGTCACAATCCTTCGGTTGTCTTTGGTCCACACCTTCCAAACACCTGGTGGGGACGTCCTTGGCTCGCGATTGACATTTAAAGAAAATGATGTTTTTGGCACATGGAGTTGCAGCCCCATGAGACACGAGGGGCAGGGCCTCCCGGCCTTCAAATAAGGTTCCTTTTAAACTGAAGCCCTTTTTCCTCAAACGTTGCTTCCCATGCTTGTCCTTCCTACAACCTGGCCCGCCTCTCGGTTTCACTCACATTCAAGTGCCCATTGCTCCCAGTACTGCTGTGGGAGCTTCCTGCTTCTTGGTCTCTGGTGGCATGCTCCACAGTGGTCTGAAGTCCGCCGCCATTGCCTCCTCCCTTGCAGAGAGGCTGAGAGGCGGTGGGCAGAGGGTGACATTGTGCGCGTTTCCCCCCCAACGCCATGGGTAGACAATGAAGTTGCTGAAGCCAGGGCTGGTAGGGATGGGTGATGGTCGTTCTGTTCACTGTGACTGCCTGCAAAGATAAGGCTGATGGAAGGGGAGGGAGACCCACCTTGGGCCCATCGTGCTTGGCTGAAGGGTGCAGGCTGCGTTGGGGGAGAGGGGGAGGCTTGACCACCTTTTGAGCCCAGCTCTTGGCTTCCGTGGGGCCCCCGGGTGGCTGCCGCCCGCTCGCCCTCCCCTCTGCCTCGGGTCTCACCTCCAGCCTGCAATGGGGATGCACTGCTTCCGGGCCAGTCCACCCAGCGGGTAGGGAAGCAGGTGGAGAGAGCGCTGCGCTGGGGTCGAGTCCACTGCAGTGCGATGAGGTATGCATGTCCAGCCCTGGGACATTCACCTGCCTGCCAGGAGCACCACCGCCAGGCACTGTTGGGATCTGAAGAGCAGGGTGCTCAGCCTGGCAGAGGCTGATATTTACATATTGTAATATTTATATTATGTAATATAATTTTTATTTTTTCACGTCATCTCTAAGCACTTTATAAACAATTAAAGTTACATTTTTCTTTGAATCTTACAGGCAAAGAAGATGGCAATAAGAGCACTTGGAACAACTGAGAATAACAAGCAATGTTAAAAAGGGAAGAAAATCAAGCCAGAAATCAAAATATTTTCCATTTCCTTCAGAAAACCACACAATTCTCCTCCTCCTCCTCTTGTTAGACAAAAGAGAGAAAATCAAGAAAAAATAAGCAGATTATGCAGAACTCAATGATACATTACATGAAGAGTGAAAGGAGATTATTTTTCAATCAGCAAAAAAGAGAAGTATCTAGAAGTCAGTGGGGAGAAAAAGGTCAATAAGGAAAGTCACGTAGAGCAGACAGGAATGCAGGCTTCTCCCTGTGAGGAAGAAAACGGCTTGAATGAAAGCAACACTAAACAAGGCATTGTCTATATTTTTGACTCCCTCAAGAATATCAACTGTGGAAAAGCTCCATAGATTTGCCTATTGTGGGAAAAATACAAGTTGAAAATCACAGCTGATTATGCACAAGAGGAGCCAGAAAGGAGAAAAGCCATAGAAATTTATTTATTTATTTATTTATTTATTCGATTTGTATACCGCCCTACTCTCGAAGGACTCAGGGCGGTGAACAGCCAAACAATAAAATAACATAGACATAAAAAATTTAAAAACCAGATAAAATCAAATTAAATTATTTTGGCCCAGACAAATTAAAACACCCCAATAATTTAAAAACAGATTAAAATTTACATATTTAAAAGGGAAGAGATTAGGCCAAGCCCGCCTGCTGGAATAAAAAGGTCTTCACAGCGTGGCGGAAGGTGCGCAGATCCGGGATCCTCCGTATCTCCGGGGGGAGCTCATTCCAGACGGTAGGTGCCCCCACAGAGAAGGCTCTCCCCCTAGGGGTCGCCAGCCGACATTGTTTGGCTGACGGCACCCGGAGGAGTCCCTCTCTATGAGAGCGTACTGGCCGGTGGGAGGCTATTGGTGGTAGTAGGCGGTCCCGTAGATAACCAGGTCCTAAGCCATGGAGCGCTTTAAAGGTGGTAACCAAAACCTTGAAGCGCACCCGGAAGACCACCGGGAGCCAGTGCAGCTCGCGCAGGAGAGGTGTCACATGGGAGCGCCACGTCGCTCCCATTACCACCCGCGCGGCCGCACTCTGCGCCAGTTGGAGCCTCCGGGTGCTCCTCAAGGGGAGCCCCATGTAGAGAGCATTGCAATAGTCCAGGCGGGAGGTGACGAGGGCATGAGTGACCGTGCGTAACGAGTCCCGATCCAGAAAGGGACGCAACTGGCGAATCAGGCGAACCTGATGAAAAATCCTCCCGGTCACGGCCGTCAAGTGCTCTTCTAAAGACAGCCGTGAATACAGGAGGACGCCCAAGTTGCGAGCCCTCTCCGTGAGGGCCAATGATTCGCCCCCAATAGTCAGTGATGGCGTCAACTGCCTATATCGGGACGTCGGAAACCACAGCCACTCGGTCTTGGATGGGTTGAGCCTGAGCCTGTTCCTCCCCATCCAGATCCGTACGGCCTCCAGGCACCGGGACATCACTTCAAGGGCATCGTTGGGGTGATCCGGGGTGGAGATGTACAGCTGGGTGTTGTCAGCGTACTGATGGTACTCCACCCCGAAACCACGGATGATCTCGCCCAGCGGCTTCACATAAATGTTGAACAGGAGAGGCGAGAGGACCGACCCTTGCGGCACCCCACATATGAGGGGCCTCGGGGTCGACCTCTGTCCCCCTGTCAACACAGACTGCGACCGGTCAGAGAGAAAGGAGGAGAACCACCGCAACACAGTGCCTCCCACCCCCAACTCTTCCAACCGGTGCAGCATGATACCATGGTCGATGGTATCAAAAGCCGCTGAGAGATCTAACAGGACCAGGACAGAGGAGCACCCCTTGTCCCGAGCCCTCCAGAGATCATCAACCAACGCGACCAATGCCGTTTCCGTGCTGTACCCGGGCCTGAAGCCCGACTGGAACGGATCCAGATACGTCGTTTCATCCTGGTGCTGGGGGAGCTGTTGCGCAACCACACTCTCAACAACCTTCGCCACAAAACGAAGGTTGGAGACCGGACGATAATTTACCAACATTGCCGGGTCCAGGGAAGGCTTCTTGAGGAGAGGCCTCACCACCGCCTCTTTCAAGGCGGCAGGAAAGACACCCTCACCCAACGAAGCATTTATAATCCCCTGGAACCAGCCTCGTGTCACCTCCCGAGAAGCCAGCACTAACCAGGAGGGACACGGGTCCAATAAACAGGTGGTCGCGTTCAGTCTACCCAGAATCCTGTCCACGTCCTCAGGGGTCACAGGATCAAACTCATCCCAGATAACATTCTCAAGACCTGCCCCAGTCCCTCCCCCTGAGACTACCCAGTCGGAGTCCAGATCTTCCCGAATCTGAGTGATTTTGTCATACAGATACTGAACAAAATCCTAGGCTCTACCCTCCAAGGGGTCCTCCCGCGCTTCCTGGTGGAGCAGGGAGCGGGTCACCCTAAACAGGGCGGCCGGGCGATTATCTGATGACGCAATAAGAGCAGCAAAATAGTTACATTTCGCTGCTTTTATTGCCACTAGGTAATTCCTAATATGAGATCTTACCAGTGTCCGGTCAGATTCAGAAAGACTGGCCCTCCAACTGCTCTCTAGGCATCTTTTCCGGCGCTTCAACTCCCTCAGCTCCTCAGTGAACCAAGGAGCTAAATGAGATCGGCGCCGGGTCAGAGGCCGCAAAGGCACGACCCGGTCCAGAGCTCCAGCGGCCGCCCTATCCCAGGCGGCCACTAGGTCTCCAGTCGAGGCGTGTGCCAGAGCCTCAGGGAATGGCCCAAGCTCCATCTGGAACCTATCAGGTTCCATCAGGCGCCTGGGGCGGAACCATCTTACCGGCTCCGCCTCCCTGCGGCGGGGTGTAGCGGTTCGAAGGTCGAGACAAAGGAGAGAGTGATCAGACCATGACAAGGGCTTGATGACTATATCCCCTATCTCGAGATCACTCAACCACTGTCCAGAGACAAAAACCAGATCCAGCGTGTTTCCCCCCCGTGTGGGTAGGGTCATGAATTAACTGGGTCAGGTCCATGGCTGTCATGGAAGCCATGAACTCCTGAGCCACCTCTGACGCCTCACCCACGGACGGCAGGTTGAAATCCCCCATGACCATAAGCCTAGGGGTATCAACCGCCACCGCGGCGATGACGTTGAGTAGCTCAGGCAGGGCTGCTGCCACGTGGCAGGGAGCCAGGTACGTGATCAGCAAACCCCTCTGAACCCCGTGACCCCATTTCACAAGGAGGGATTCACAGCCGGCCGTCTGAGGAACAGTGGCCTCCCTCGGTCTCAGGCCTTCTTTAATGATAACCGCTACCCCCCCGCCCCTCCCCTGTGACCTTGGCTGATGGAATGCGTGGAAACCTGGTGGTTACCTGACTGTGGCAAAAGTTTCAGTCAGAATAGCTCCTTTGTGGTTCATGGAAGCAACCACACAAGAGAGAAGCCATAAAAATGCTCCCAATGCGGTAAACGTTTTAGTGAGCATGGCATGTGGTGATACATCAGAGGTCTCACAGCAGGGAGAAAACGTATGACTGTGTAGATTGTGTGAAAGTTTCATTAGAAATTCCCAGGTCATGAGACACTAAAGGCCTCACACATAGGAAAAAAACATTTGAATATCCTTTCTGTGGGAAAAGTTTCAGTGAGAATTCCAGTCTGGTTAACCCCCCGAACACTCTCACAGAAGTGAAACCCTTTGAATGTCCTGACTGTCATCAGGAAATCATTGTCACAATTCCATTCTGGTGATACATCAGTAGATTGACTCCAGGGAGAAACTGTATGAGTGTCTAAATTGTGGGAAAAGCTTCATTATCCATCTCATGAGACACAGAGAACTCACATAGAAGATAAACCCTTTGAATGTCTGATTATGGGAAAACTTTTAGTCAGAATTCCAGTCTGATGATACACCAGAGGACTCACATAGGAGAAAAAATGCTTTGAAGGTTTTGATTGTGGGAAAACTTTCAGTTATAATTCCAATTTGGTGACATACTACAGGAACCACAAAGGAGAAAACCCATTTCAATGTCCTAACTGTGGGAATAGTTCCAGTCATAATTCCATCCTGGAATTATAACAATTATAATCAATAAGAGGATTCACTCCATGGAGAAACCCTATGAGTGTCGAGAATGTGGGAAAGGTTTCATTACAAATTACCACCTCATGCGACACCAGAGGACTCACACAGGAGAGAAACCCTTTGAATGTCCTGACTGTGGGAAAGATTTCAGTCAGAATTCCAGCTTGGTGAAACACCAGAGAACTCACACAGGAGAGAAACCCTTTGAATGTTGTATCTGTGGGAAACATTTTAGTGATAATTCCAGCCTGGTGAAACACCAGAGGACTCACACAGGAGAGAAACCCTTTGAATGTCTTGATTGTGGGAAATGTTTCAGTCACAATTCCAATCTGGTGTTATACCAGAGGAGTCACACAGGAGAGAAACCCTTTGAATGTTGTATCTGTGGAAAACGTTTTAGTGATAATTCCAACTTGGTGAAACACCAGAGAACTCACACAGGAGAGAAACCCTTTGAATGTTGTATCTGTGGGAAATGTTTTAGTGATAATTCCAGCCTGGTGAAACACCAGAGAACTCACACAGGAGAGAAACCCTTTGAATGTTGTATCTGTGGGAAACGTTTTAGTGATAATTCCAGCCTGGTGAAACACCAGAGGACTCACACAGGAGAGAAACCCTTTGAATGTCTTATCTGTGGGAAACGTTTTAGTGATAATTCCAACTTGGTGAAACACCAGAGAACTCACACAGGAGAAAAACCCTTTGAATGTCCTGATTGTGGGAAACGTTTCATTGGAAATTCCCACTTCATGATACACCAGAGGACTCATACAGGACAGAAACCCTTTGAATGTCCTGACTGTGGGAAAGGTTTCAGTCAGAATTCCAGCCTGGTGATACACCAGAGGACTCACACAGGAGAGAAACCCTTTGAATGTCTTATCTGTGGGAAAGGTTTTAGTGATAATTCCAACTTGGTGAAACACCAGAGGACTCACACAGGAGAAAAACCCTTTGAATGTCCTGATTGTGGGAAACATTTCATTAGAAATTCCCAATTCATGATACACCAGAGGACTCACACAGGAGAGAAACCCTTTGAACGTCTTATCGGTGGGAAACGTTTTAGTGATAATTCCAGCTTGGTGAAACACCAGAAAACTCACACAGGAGAGAAACCCTTTGAATGTTGTATCTGTGGGAAAAGTTTTAGTGATAATTCCAGCCTGGTGAAACACCAGAGGACTCACACAGGAGAAAAACCCTTTGAATGTCCTGATTGTGGGAAAAGGGTCCGTAACAATTCCAGCCTGGTGAAACACCAGAAGACTCACACAGGAGAGAAACCATTTGAATGTCCAGATTGTGTGAAAAGTTTCCTTTGGAATTCTGAGCTGGTGATACACCAGAGGACTCACACAGGGGAGAAACCCTTTGAATGTCTTATCTGTGGGAAAGGTTTTAGTGATAATTCCAACTTGGTGAAACACCAGAGGACTCACACAGGAGAAAAACCCTTTGAATGTCCTGATTGTGGGAAACATTTCATTAGAAATTCCCAATTCATGATACACCAGAGGACTCACACAGGAGAGAAACCCTTTGAACGTCTTATCGGTGGGAAAGGTTTTAGTGATAATTCCAACTTGGTGAAACACCAGAGGACTCACACAGGAGAAAAACCCTTTGAATGTCCTGATTGTGGGAAACATTTCATTAGAAATTCCCAATTCATGATACACCAGAGGACTCACACAGGAGAGAAACCCTTTGAACGTCTTATCGGTGGGAAACGTTTTAGTGATAATTCCAGCCTGGTGATACACCAGAGGACTCACACAGGAGAGAAACCCTTTGAATGTTGTATCTGTGGGAAAAGTTTTAGTGATAATTCCAGCCTGGTGAAACACCAGAGGACTCACACAGGAGAAAAACCCTTTGAATGTCCTGATTGTGGGAAAAGGGTCCGTAACAATTCCAGCCTGGTGAAACACCAGAAGACTCACACAGGAGAGAAACCATTTGAATGTCCAGATTGTGTGAAAAGTTTCCTTTGGAATTCTGAGCTGGTGATACACCAGAGGACTCACACAGGGGAGAAACCGTTTGAATGTCCTGATTGTGGGAAAAGTTTCAGTCACAATTCCAAGCTGGTGAAACACCAGAGAACTCACACAGGAGAGAAACCATTTGAATGTCCTGATTGTGGGAAAAGGTTCAGTCACAATTCCAGCCTGGTGATACACCAGAGGACTCACACAGGAGAGAAACCATTTGAATGTCCTGATTGCGGGAAAAGTTTCAGTCACAATTCCAGCCTGGTGACACACCAGAGGACTCACACAGGAGAGAAACCATTTGAATGTCCTGATTGTGAGAAAAGTTTCAGTCACAATTCCAATCTGGTGGCACACCAGAAGACTCACACAGGAGAGAAACCATTTGAATGTCCAGATTGTGTGAAAAGTTTCCTTTGGAATTCTGAGCTGGTGATACACCAGAGGACTCACACAGGAGAGAAACCGTTTGAATGTCCTGATTGTGGGAAAAGTTTCAGTCACAATTCCAGCCTGGTGATACACCAGAGGACTCACACAGGAGAGAAACCATTTGAATGTCCTGATTGCGGGAAAAGTTTCAGTCACAATTCCAGCCTGGTGACACACCAGAGGACTCACACAGGAGAGAAACCATTTGAATGTCCTGATTGTGAGAAAAGTTTCAGTCACAATTCCAATCTGGTGGCACACCAGAAGACTCACACAGGAGAGAAACCATTTGAATGTCCTGATTGTGGGAAAAGTTTCCTTTGGAATTCTGAGCTGGTGAGACACCAGAGGACTCACACAGGAGAGAAACCTTACGAGTGCCCAGACTGTGGGAAAGATTTCAATACTAAGACTAGCCTTTTAAATCATGTGCTTATACACACGGGAGAAACCATTTAAGTGCCCCAAGAGTGGACGGTGCTGCAGGAAACATTCCACCCTTATTGCAGACAAGAAAATGCACATGGATTTTCCAAAGTGATGAGTAATGATCTAAAGCAGTGGTTCCCAAAGTTAGCGGTACCAAAGTGGTAGCAGTGGGATGACTTAGGGGGACAGTAAGAGTCATGGGGGGCAGCAGGGGGCCGCTAAGTGGCAAGGTGGCTGGCCCCCATCCTTTGGCCTGTGCCTCGCAGCAGTTACCTCCTTGCAAGCAAACAGCAAGAAAAAACAGCTGCTTTCAGCTTCAGCATATTAATTGCATATTAATTGCATTAATAATTGCATATTATTAATTAGCACAAGTTGATTAGATTGGCCTCCCGATTCTCTCAGCTGTTTTGCGCAGGGCTCTGCTGCTTGCTGCAAAGAATGTTGGAGCAGATTTTTTTTCCCCTTGTTCTTATCAAGCTATGCTGAAAACAAAACAAAGTAAAGCAGGCTGTTTGCTGTTTGCTGCAAGGAAAAATGAGGCAGAGGCAGAGGGAATTTCTTTTTCTTCTTTTTCCTCACTAAAAAAGGCAGGTGCAAACAATGGGAAATATAGGGCAAAAGAGGAGAGTTCAAGATTTTAAAACATAAAAGAAAAAAAGGAGAAAGAAAAAGGCAAAAATAAAAATTGGAAGGGAGAAAAAGAAATGAAAGGGAAAGATGTTATACATATTTAGAATTGAAATATGAATAGTAGTAAGAAATAAATGGGAAATCATGATTGTAAAAATGAAATGAATAATAATTGGAATATTTGTATTTTTGAAATCTAGACAATGATAAGTTTTTCTTTTTTTCTTTTTTTTAGAAATATGAATAAGTATAAACTGTAACAATTGAAATACCTTTAATGGTATATGGTGCTGAAAGTAAAAAGGATTAAGTTGTAGCTTGGATAACATTGTTCTATTTTTCATTTAACAGCATTTTCACATATAATTTCTACAACTAGCATCCTTCTCTTTATTAACAAATTAACGTTTTCATTGACTCTTAATTCGTTTCCTCTTAGTCTCTCCACAGTTCTCTTTCTTGATGTTTTCCTCCCTTTCTCCCATTTCTTTACCTTCTTCTTTTTCCTGTTCTTATATTTCCCCTTCAGCCTTTTTCCTTTAATTTTAACTCTATTACTTTTCATTCTCAATCTTATCCCATTTATTTCTCTTTTCTTCATATTTGAGATGTATTTTCCCATATCCATTTTTATTCTATCACTATTGAACCCAGTGTAATCATCTTTAACTTTTTTCCCAATAATTTCCTTTTCAATATTATCTCCTTGTTTCTCTTGCTTCTCATTCATCTTTTCTCTTTCTTTTTTTTGCAAGCTAACCAATTCTCTGCTTCTTTATTTCCCTTAAATGCCTCCCTTACTTTTTGAAACATCTCCCTTAATGTCTCATATTCAGCCTTTTTCTCCCTGGGTATCCTTGAGATGTTCCACCCCAGAATTTCCCAGGCAGCATCTCTTCGGGATAAGAGAGCTCAGGCTATAGTTAGAGATTGTGGTTCCTCATGGAAGAAGAAAACAAGAGGAAAGAGAAATAGTTTATCTTTTCCTAACAATTCATTGCACCAATCATGTCTGCTCAGGTGGTGAATGAGGCACGCAAATGGAAGAAACCATATGAATAGCAAATATATTGGAGGAGTTTGGGGCAGTGACAAAAGCAGTGTAAAATTTCAGGTGCAAAGGCTACTCTGCCTTGCGTGTGACCTTCATGGAGAAGAGCTGTAGGAATACTGAGTTGAGAAAAGGGAGTGTGTTTTTGAGTACAGGATCTCCAGGTTCATTCGCAACTCCTGTTGTGATCTCCTTCGCTTGGAGGCTCCTCCTTCCTAGTCTTTGACGGCTGGGAGGTGTGAGCAGAATCAAGGGATTGATACCAGGGGTGGGTTCTAAATTTTTTTACTACCGGTTCTGTGGGCGTGGCTTATTTTGTGGGCGTGGCTTGGAGGTTGTGTGACTGGGTGGGCGTGGCTAGCTGGTCATGTGACTGGGTGGCCATGGCTATGTGTATAGGGACTACTCAGAGGGCTGAAAAAAGTCATTTCTGACAGGTCCTCGCACTTTTGACTGGTCCTCACACTTATGACCATCCTCACATTTATGCCCGTGCAGCATTCTTAACAACCATGTCACTCATTTCACAACTGCTTCTCTACACCATGGTGATAAGATAGGGCAAAAAACGTAAAATGTGAGGACAGTCGTAAGTTTGAGGACTGGTCAAAAGTGCGAGGACCAGTCAAAAATAACTTTTTCAGCCCTCTGACTGGTCCACATGCACAAAAGGACTACCTGGAGTGTAGAGTGACCACACACACAAAGGTTGAGGATATATGTGGTAACTTTATTGTCTTACATAGTGACATTATATAGTTTGTTACTACAAGTTACAGCAGTACTTGGCAGCATCTCATTGGCTCACAGAATCTTTTAGCTAACTAGAACCATTACTTATAATGTTATCTATAGACATGGAACCCTTGTCATGGTCAGATCAGTCACTCCTCCGCCTGGACCTTCGCACTGCTACACCTCGCCGCAGGGAGGCGGAGCCAATAAGATGGGTCCGCCCCAGGCGCCTGATGGATCCTGATAGGTTCCAGATGGAGCTTGGGCCATTTCCTGAGGATCTGGCACACGACTCGGCCGAGGACCTGGTGGCTGCCTGGGACCGGGCGGCTGGTGGGGCCTTGGATCGAGTTGTGCCTTTGCGGCCTCTGACCCGGTGCCAATCCCTTGCGGCTCCTTGGTTTACCGAGGAGTTGAGGGAGATGAAGCGCCAGAAAAGACGCCTGGAGAGCGGTTGGAGGGCCAGTCTCGCTGAATCTGACCGAACACTGGTAAGTTCGCATATTAAGACCTACCTAGTGGCGATAAAAGTTTAACCACTTTTCCGCTCTTATTGCATCATCAGAGAATCGTCCGGCCGCCCTGTTTAGGGTGACCCGCTTCCTGCTTCACCCGGGAGGACCCCCTGGAAGGCAGGGCAGAGGATTTCGGACAATATCTGTATGACAAAATCGCTCAGATCCGGGGGGAGTTGGACTCTGACTGGGTAGATTCGGGCAGGGTGACGAGGAATAGTCTTGAGAATGTTATCTGGGAAGAGTTTGACTCTGTGACCCCGGATGACGTGGACAGGATTCTGGGGAGACTTAGTGCGGCCACATGTTTACTGGACCCGTGTCCCTCCTGGTTAGTACTGGCTTCCCGGGAGGTTACACGAGGCTGGCTCCAGGGAATTATTAACGCTTCGCTGAGTGAGGGTTACTTCCCCACGGCCTTGAAAGAGGCGGTGGTGAGGCCTCTCCTCAAGAAGCCTTCCCTGGATCCGGCAGTATTAGCCAACTATCATCCTGTCTCCAACCTTCGCTTTGTGGCGAAGGTTGTCAAGAGTGTGGTTGCATGACAGTGGTTATTAAATAAATAAATAAATAAATAAATAAATAAATAAATAAATAATCTCCATTTCCCACTTTTCTTTTTAATAACAAAGACAGGAGTATTCCAGGGGCTAGTAGAGGGTTCAATATGACCAGCAGCTAATTGTTCCTGAACAAATTGCTGTAAAGCAGATAATATTTCCACTGAAAGAGGCCACTGCTCCACCCACACGGGGGCAGTAGAGAGCCACTTAAGGGGAAGAGCCATCATCCAAAATCAATTTTGTATTCAAAAAGGAAAGGAGGTCCCGACCCCAAATATTAGTATGAATATCTAAAATATAAGGTTGCAGGGCAAAGGACTTACCAGCTGCTGTGGAGAATTGAATATCACGCACACTCTGCCAGGCTGGAGTTGAACCACCTACACCCCATAAAGAAGAAACTGACTTCTTAGGCCATTGGACAGGCCACTGTAAAGACGAAATAACAGTAACATCGGCTCCAATATCAAGCAACCCTTGAAAAGGTTGCTTATTCAAATAGAGAGTTAACAAAGGACGAAAGGAAGTAACAGACTGAAGTAAAGCCACAGAAGGAGAGGTAGAACCAAAACCAGCATCCCCACGTACCCCTGTGCCAGAACAAGGGACTTGATAGGGAAGCAAAAGTAATTGAACAACAGAGGATTGTTCATCCAAGCCTGAATAAAAAAAAATTCCAGTGTAATCAGAATCAATAACACCAGGGACTACAAAGCATCCTTTTTTATGAGCTGAAGATCGAGGCAAGATAAGACCCACTAAACCAGAGGGAAGAGGGCCTTTAAATTGAGAAGGAATCAATTTAACCTCCAAAGGAAATTTAAATTCCACAGATTCCTGAGTTATTAGATCAATCCCAGCACTACCTGCTGTGGCTGGGATTACAGAGGAAAGGCTGTGGGGAGGAGACCCCTTTTCAGGATACCATAAACACTTATTTGCAATCTCCTGGACCAGCCATAAGAGACTGCGTTCTGATACATCAGTGTGATTTTTCTTAAGTAAATAGCTTAATTCTTCAGCATGCTTTCTTTGTCCCTCAGAAAGCAAGATGAAAGGGAAGAAAGCCAACCCCAACAAATATAAAGATATTAAGATAAAGAATGAATTGTTAAACTTTAAAGATTAAAAGAGAACAAATATGAATAAATAGCAATAATTAGAAACACACATACAAACATACAATGTATTTTCTTTGAACAGAGTATTTGGCCGGTTCACAAATTTAAACAGTGTTTAGTCATTTCAATTAAATTTACAATTTCTATATTTCCTTTTTGCCATATTTATTCCTCATCTATTTTTTTAAAAAACCAATATTACCCTTCATCCTTATCTCTAATCTTAATCAAATTCAATTTTACCCTTCTATTCTATATTATACCCATTCCCATTGTCATCTATTTTTATATCCATCCTCACATTGGTTAATTATGTAATATTACAGTTGTTTAATACAAATTCAACGTTTTAATATAAATCAATTAGTTATATAACTATCTTTTTTGTATATTAATCAATATGAACATGAATATTCCCATTATTTCCATGCAATCCAATTTCTTACAAATCAATTAATTATATTTACCAATAATAATAAATCAAATAATTTCCCCCATATATTCCTCCAAACCACAATTTAACCATTTCTGCTTTCAACACAATATACAATTAATAGTATCTCAATTATTACAATTCCCTATTTAAATAGAGCTTTTTTTCTTTTTTGTTTTAAAATCTTGAACTCTCCTCTTTTTCCCTAAAGAGGAACTACCTCTTTAGGGAAAACTACCTTTCCACTAAAGGTAGTTTGCACCTACCTTTTTTGGTGAGGAAAAAGAAAAGAAATCAGCCTGCCTAATTTTCCAACGTTGCAGCAACAGTAAAGCAGGCTTTTACTTTCAGTTTCGTTTTTCAGCATAGATAGGGGGAAAAAAATCTGCACTCTTTGCAAGCAAGCAGCAGAGCCCTGAGCAAAACAGCTGAGAGCAAATCAGCTGAGAGTTGGGAGGCCGATAGAATCAAGGGGCTAATTAGCCTATGCTGAAGCTCCGCGGGCCAATAAAATTACAAAAAAACACCGAACCGTTTGTTAAATTGCTGGCTCGCCCGCCCCTTGCCCACCACTATTTATTGGCAATAAATAGTGGTGTGGAGGGGCGGGGCAAGGGGCGGGGTGAGCCAGCAATTTAACAAAGGGTTCGGCCGAACCCCCTAGAACCGGCAGAATCCCACCACTGGGTCAATCATACGTTCTTGGCACTGCAAAGTGTTATCCTCAATTATATCTGGATGTACTGAGGATAGATTATATTTATTTATTTATTTATTTATTTATTTATTTATTTATTTATTTATTTATTTTATTTTTTATTGAAAAAGTTTTTCAAATACAGATTTTTCCCCCTTTTCCCCCCTCTCCTCCCTAACCCCCCCTCCCCCTCCCCCCATGGCTTCTCCAA